GTTAAACTTGACAGGCCTCAAAAATACCCTTTCAAAAAAGAAAAAAAAAAATTCTTTTACAAAGGGAGACATTGAATGTTTATGAGGTACAATTGTGCAGCCTTACAGCAAGCTGCAAGCTGTAATAACTGGGGGAGAAAAATCACCACATCTAATCTTGTTTCTACCGAGTCCACTATCCTGGCCTCAAAACAACTATTAGCTCTCAGTGTGACAAGCCAGGAGACTCGGCCCCCCTCCCCAGCACATCCTCAGAGAGGAAATCAGGAACTGCTTTGCAGTGCTCTCACCATCAAACTGCTCAGACTTTGGAGGGGCTGCAGAAGTCACTTCCAGAAGGACAGAGTCAACTTCATCTTCTCCATCACTCAGATCCAGTTGCAGTTTGGACTTCATCCAGTTCCTGAGCAGCTCTTGGGCTATCATGAAGGAAGACACTGATGACTTCACTTGCTTAAAAAATATATGGATAAGTGTAAGCTAGCAAGACTCTGTCTCTGGAATAGTTATATAACATGTTGGGAATAACTTAAAGCTGATCTGCAACAGAAAATGAAATAAGGCTAATAGTTCTGCTCTCATCTTGATCTGTAAAAGAACAAGAAGAGAAGGCGGCAAACTTTCTGCCTGTCACATATGAACTCTTCTCCACTTCATTTTCCCTACAAGATTCTGTGGACATTTAGATCACTCATGTGATTATTATAGCATTTATCAAGGAGATGGGATTCACATGAGGTAATTCATAACTCAGATAGCTTTCAGATGTTTTACCACTGCACTCGCAGACACTTAGATCTATTTTCCACATGTACAACCATGGTTGCCATATGTTAAATACAAAAGAACCACTGTTTGGACAAACATTTGCTTCATGTGTACAAGTTAACCTTTGCAAGTACCACAGCTCGAGGAGCAACTGGTGAGTCTAGATTACAAATCTGTCAGGTGGCAAGCTTCACCTGGGACTACCTGTACTCAGAATTAAGACTGCCACTACAGGAATGCACCCATGATGGATGTGGTACCTCAGTGAGCTCAAATACCTAACAAACGACTAGGTATAAAATTCTTCTATGGACTACTTGCATCTCCACTCTTCTGTGGGAAAACACAATATTCCTTTTTCAGAGTTTCTACTCAAAAGCAAGGACAGCTGCCTGTCTGCTGCCTCAACAAACCACCTGGCCTTGCTGCACGGGTGGCCAAACTGCTCCTGAAGCAGACCACAGGGCTGTAAACTCAGGAGCAGCCCCCCAAGAAGCGGAGCCATCCTGAGCTATCCATGTGGTGAGGATGGGCAAAGAGCCGGGATCAGCAGCCACTAGAGTGCGAGTCATTCCCTGTAAAGGCACACAGTCAACAGACAGGAGGAAGCAGCTGCTCCAAATCTCCAGTTCTAATCCAAAGTGAAGATGCTCCCTGGTATTTCTAAGGCAATAAAGCCTTTTTCAAATTTTCTTAAAAAAGGACGGGTTTTTTTGAAGAAAACATAAATCTAATGTTTATTGTCCTTCAAATCACCTTTATTATCTCTCAGGCCAGCTCATGAACAGGGAAATATATCTGATAACAGAAAGAAGAGAGAAAAACTACTTGTCACTTGGGAAAGGGTTACTCTTTTGACTAGGATTTGTGATCTTATCGTAACTGGAGTAAAGGGGTTCTGGTACTCTTCTTATTGATACCTTTCTTTGCTAAGTGGGCTATGTGTAGGTTAATACCATTAAGTATTCTAATAACATATTCCAGAGAAAAGAATTTCAGTTGAGCTAGGAACAATCCTGAGGGATTGGTAGCTATAAAAAGGAAAACCCTAGCAGAGAAGGACAAACAAAAATAAAAAACATGAGGAAAGCAAGCAACCTTTCCACCAAAGGAAAAGACAAAGCTTTTCACCAAAGCAAAGACTGCTGGATCACCTTTGGAGCCACTGTGCTGTATAATGCATTCAGACAGTGCACTGTGAACAGACAAGTGTATGCTGTGCTATTAGTTGATACCTTGATGATTACAAGTGAAAAAGCTGAGTTCCTGTATTGAAGTGGATGCTCCTAAGATGTGTCAGTGTTCTGTTCCTTAAGGCTTTTTTGACTCTAAAAAGAATGGTTAACTCAGTTTTTAAAATCCTGTCTCCTATCAGCATTTTACACTGCAGACATACTTCTGGCACTGATGGAAGATAATTTCCCTCCTTTTTGTTTCTTAAATCTACCACAGCTTTATTTTCAAACTTTGGGTTGCGACTGCAGGCATTACAAAAGGCATATTTAGCTAATTAGTGAGGAAAATGTTGCATGGGAATCAAAGCAAAACCACACAATTATTTATAGATGTGAAAGTTACACAGAGCAACTCCATTTCCACATCTGGCCTGGTACCAAAAATATGTCAGGTTATTTCACCTGGTTTCCTACAGCCCACTAACTTGTGTTTGACCATACAGTGTGTCTTCAAGGGCAGAATTTATCCCTGTCTTGACCTGATAACTCCAAGAGACAGAGAGCTGATCCTTCTCTTAGGTATGCTATTTAAGATCTGCCTTGAACTCCAGGAACTGATCCTTCTTATGCCTTTCTCCATTAGATGAAAGACATCCTACTAGGAATGGTTTCTTATGATCTCAAGCTTTGCAAGAGCCTGTTCAGACCAGAACCGCAAGGCTGGATCAAGAACAGTTCATTTTAGACAGCTTGTGGCAAGCAGAATTTTAGCTCACCTTCCTCACAGGCCTCATCATGATCTTGCAGCTGTTCCATGGTTTCCAAACTTGTTACAGGACCCCAAGGCCCCTGTGGATAGCTTGACTTTTGATGGGAAAAAGCTTCAGAGACAGCTTGGTCCACTCTCTTTAAACTGAAGAAAGGAAAACATTTCTAGGTATTGCTGCAGATTAATTTTGACATTTCCCATACCCATGTTTCTCCTCCAGAGATAGCAAACATTAGTGGGAATGTAACACAAGATAGCACAGCTGTTATAGATTTCTTTTGAAACACGTTTTTCTGATTGCTTGATTGACTGGATAAATTTGACTTAGAAGTCATTAAGCAATAAACACTCATTTGGCAATTAGTGTCAATCACAGAGGTTGGAGAACACGCAGGGAGAATGCAAACACCCAGCCCCTGGGGACTGGATGGCGACTTGCTGAGCTAGTCCCCAGCAACCAGCAACTATGAAATTTGATACCAGCTTTTTGTCATAGCCAGGCTGGTCACTGTACTCTGAGAGACTGTCCAGTATTCATCTCTCTGAGATGTAAATGGTCCTGATGTGTCATTGTGTTTTCACATGCAACACCTGTACCTCGGACAGTCTGTACTTCTGCATAACTCCTTCCCTTTGTGTGGCTGCCAAAGGCCTGGGATGCTGCCTGAGGAGGCAGATGCACACTCATACCTGCCATAAGAAGCAGGCTGAGGGTGGGAGCATGGGTGTGCTGAAGAAAGCAAAACAAAGGGAAGTTCACCCTAGAATTCTCTTTCTTTGACGTCAGGTGGTTGTAGGTGAAGGAGATGATGCTTTAGGGTAAATCTCTTGTATTACTTGCCCGTACAACCTGCGGTACTGCTCAACAGCAAGTTTTGTGTGTTGACCCATGAGTTTTTTGCATAGCAACGAGATACCTTACTCTTCATAGAGTTTGGGTTGGAAGGGACCTTTAAAGGTCATCTAGTCCAACCTCCCTGCCGTGGGCAGGGACATCTTTGATAACACCAAGTTGGATGGGAGTGTTGCTCTACTCGAGGGTAGAAAGGCTCTGCAAAGGGGTCTGGACAGGCTAGATCGATGGGCTGAGGCCAATGGTATGAAGTCAACATGGCCAAATGCTGATTCCTGCCCTTGGGTCACAACCACCCTAGGCATTGCTACAGGCTTGGGGCAGAGTGGCTGGAAAGCAGGCCAGTGAAAAAGGCCCTGGGGGTGCTGCTTGAGAGATGGCTGAACATGAGCCAGCAGTGTGCCCAGGTGGCCAAGAAGGCCAATGGCATCCTGGCCTGTATCAGAAATAATGTGGGCAGCAGGACCAGGGCAGTGACTGTCCCTCTGTATTCAGCTCTGGGGAAGCCACATCCCTAGTCCTGTGGCCCAGTTCTGGGCCCCTTCATTCAGGAAAGGCATTGAGGTGCTGGAGCATATCCAGGGCAACAAGGCTGATGAAGGGTCTGGAGGCTAAGCCCTATGAGAAGCATCTGAAAGAGCTGAGATTGTTTAGCCTGGAGAAAAGGAGGCTCAGGGGGACCTTATCACTCTCTACAACTCCCTGAAAGGAGTTTGTAGCCAGTTGGGGTCAGCCTCTTCTCCCAGGAAACAAATGACAGGATAAGGGGGAACAGCCTCAAGTTGTGCTATGGGAGATTTAGATTGGATATGAGGAAAAATCTCTTCACTGAAAGGCAGGAACAGGCAGTGGAACAGGCTGCCCAGGGAAGTGCTTGAGTCACCATCTCTGGAAGAGTTCAAAAACCGTGTGGATGTGGCATTTGGGGTGAACACGGAGGTGCTGGGTTAACGGTTGGACTTGATGATCTTAGAGGTCTTTTCCAACATTAATGACTCTGTGATCGTCAACCACCTCGGGCTGCTCAGAGCCCCTTCCAACCCGACTCTGAATTGTTACCGCGCAAGTTACTCCACCTCGACTCCACCACTGTTCCACGCTACCAGACCCAAACCTAGGCAGGAGGATAAGAAACACAACAGCGTTCCAACCACCCGTCTCCCTTCCTGAACCCAAGTTTAAACGCTGCCAACTTTGGCGCCGTTCGCTCGAGCCCTGCGCGGACTCTCCCCCCCCCCCCCCCCCCCCCCCCATGCAACCCCCCCGCCGGCAAACCGCACGGCCGCTGCTTGGGAAGCCTCGACCCTGACCCTGCCGTGCCGGGATGCCAGGGGACCATCCCGCCCCCGGCGCTCCCCCCGAGCCGTGCCCCGTTACCTCCGGGAGGCGCCGCCAGCGGAGCAGCGGCAGCCGCTGCCCGGCCACGGCAACGGAAGGGCGGCGCCGGCGCGCGGCGCCCGCTGATGACGCCCGGCGCGGTGGGAAGGGAGCTCCGCGCTCCCTCCGTCCCCGGGCGCTGCCGGGCCGAGGATGAAGATGAAGCTGCAGCTGCTCGGGGCGGGCTGCGGGCGGCTGGGCACGCTGGTGGGGCTGGGCAGGAGCGGGGCTGGGGCGCTGGCGCTGCCGGGCTGCCTGCTGTACACGCGGACCGGCTCGGCGCCGCACCTCACCCACGACACGCTGCGGGAGGTGCGCGGAGTGCCCGGCGTGGCGCAGCTGCCCCTGCCCGCCCTGTGAGTACCGGGGGGGCGCGGGGAAGTGGCGAGCTCGGGGGTCCCTCTGCTGCTTCCCTGTCGAAGGGAGGTGCAGGGGCGCGGTGGGAACGGCGAAGGTGAGGGAGCTGGAGGGCCGCGTGGCTTTTAGTGTGTTTAGGCCAAACCCGCGGTAGTGACTTCACAGCCGTCTTCCCATCTCGGCCAGCAGGTCGAGGGAGATGATTCTCCCCCTCTGCTCTGCTCTGGTGAGACCCCACCTGGAGTACTGCATCCAGCTGTGGGGTCCCCAACATAGGGAGGACATGGACCTGTTGGAGTGAGTCCAGAGGAAAGCCACGAAGATGATCAGAGGGCTGGAGCACCTCTCCTGTGACGACAGGCTGAGAAAAGCTGGGGCTGTTCAGCCAGGATAAGAGAAAACTCTAGAGAGACCTTATATCAGCCTCCCAGTACCTAAAAGGGGCTTATAAGAAAACTGGGGACAAACTTTTTAGCAGGGCTTATCCCGACAGATAATGGTTTTAAACTATAAGAGAGTAGACTAGATATAAGGAAGGAATGTTTTACAATGAGAACAATTAAACACTGTAACAGGTTGCCCAGATTGGTGGTAGATGCCCCATCCTGGAAACATTTGAGGTAAGATTGAACCAACAGTTGACTCTCAAAACTAGTTAGGTAGGTGGAAACTGAAAGGAAAGATTAACATCATAAAGCTTGTTAGAAGCTCTCCAGTCCCTGGTTGTGCTGTTGCTCAATGATGCACATTAGTGATGCTACTCAAGAAGTCACACTGGGGCTCCGTGTTCTCCAGCAAGTCAGTGGGCACTGGTCAGTGCAGGTAAAAGCTCTGCCTGTTTGCCACAGAATTATGAGTGCCTTAGGTTGTGGGCTATGATTCTTGAGCTCTGTGTCTCTGGAATTTAGTTCTATCTGTCCCTGCTTTACTGCCTGATAGCTGGATGGCAGAAATCAGTGCTTAACCGATCCAGTTAAGCATAAGTATGGAAACAGAAGCCTTACTTATAAAACCACTGATCTTTTTTGAAAGCTGTCTGCTTAGTTAATGTGTTTCTGTATCTGGATTGCAGGGCAGAAATTCATGATGTCCTGGAAGAGTATAAAGAAGGAGCTGCAAAATTTATAGGTAAAGTGCATATGTTTGCTTGTATGTCTGGAGAGGAAATGCAGGTGGATCCCACTAGAGCATGTTCAGGCGGTACAGTAGGCAGAAAGATGGAGGTACAGACTTTCCACATTTAGGCATTTTCTCACTCAGAGTGGCACTAAGGAAGACTTGAAATAGTATGTTGACATTGGTATGGTCAGAAATCCTTCTGGCCAATAGTATGGCCAAAAATCCTTCAATCAGCGTACAAAAATAAGCTTTTCCCCCCTCTTTTTCTGCACCTGGCCTTCTCCTTGCAAGCTTCAGCACAGACTGGGGTGGACTTAGCCCAAAAGTTGAGACTAGGACTGAGAGTGGTTTCACTGTAGCTCCCAATCACTGCTGCAAATGAATCTTGCCAGGTGCAATTTCTGGCTTCTTTTATGAGGAGAATGAGAAACTTTCATTAAAAGGGCCTTCCCCATACAGCTGCTCAAATAATTTCCTGTCTTTTTTGGTTCCCTTAAAATAGTTGATTTCAGCTAAAGATTTCCAACAGGAAATCTTTATGCAGTATGAAGAATAAACAGGTAAAGCACCCGCATCAAATCAGTCTCAGCTGGTGGACACTTCTGTCTCTGAGCTGTTTCTGTTCTGAGAAAATGTTAGGGGGAAGGACCCACGTTGGATTTGTGGGAGCTCTGAGGAACTAAAGAAGCAGGTGGAGAAGCTCATTTTCCCCCTGTTCTTTGTTCCTGTCTGTTTAGCGTTTGGACTGTACTTGCTTTCTGTATTCCTCTTCCACTTTTCCATCTTAAAGAGTCAATTTTAAGAATTAACTGAATTTTATTTATGGATAGTCATATGAAAAACAGTCAATGTTGCCACATCCTTTGGCTACTACACCAAGCCTTTGTGATGTTCATTAGTCCCTGTACTCCATTCTTGGAGCAGCTCCTGAATGGAATCTTTGTCTTATCACCTTGATGATAAGAATGAGTAAAGCAGCAATTCCTGTGTTTGCAACTCTCCTGGTTTTTTCCTCTGGTTGTCACAACAGATCAGCGAAGGCCTGACCACGTGCACTGTGCAGCTCAGATCACTGGTGTCAGGCTTGTGTGGCAGAGGACCCTGAATGCACAGTGAATGCAGGGTTGGCCTCTTGTGTGAATATGTGTATCATAGCCTGTATTTATATCTGGGGAGGCAGCTCAGAGGACTGGAGGATTATCTGCCAAGACAGCAAGTTTCTCTGGGATGCTTTTTCTGGGTATCTCAAGTTACACTTGGGTACGGGGTAAGTCTTGTGAAAGTGATGATGTGTCCATAATTTCTATAATTTACAGACAATTCTTTGTGTATGGAATATAGCAGACTTTGCAAGAAAAAAAAATCCATGTTGATAGTGTGCTTTTTTTTTTTTAAGCACATAAAAATTTGGGACATACATTTTATTATATAAACAAAGTTATGGTTTGCCTTTCCAAAGGAAGTTTGCACCCAACTCTCAGTAAACTTCGACTGCTTTGGGGCAGCTTATTCCTTCACGAAAAATTGAAGAATCTCTTTATCTGAAACTTCCTAGAGGCTTTACCAATTTCAGTGACTATCTGTGAAGAGAAGACTGTCATTGAGACATACTGTCTACCTTTCTGACATTTGAAGCCTCCAGTCTTGCAGGGGTGATATATTTCTCATTTTTGTAGCTGATACCTTCTCTCAGTACTGTATTCTTTACTATGAGGATGGTGAGGCACTGGAACAGATTGCCCAAAGAAGTTGTGGCTACTCCATCCCTGGAAGTACTCAAGGCCAGGTTGGATGGGGCTTTAAGCAACTTGGTCTAGTGGAAAGTGTACCTGCCCATGAGACAGGATCTTTAAGGTCCCTTCCAACCCAAACCATTCTATGATTCTGTATGTCCTTCCTTAAAAGTTCTAGGCTTGGGGTTGTTGCTCAGTTTAGATTGTGTCAAATGTCAGATGTTTTCAGTATATCAATTGAATGGTCAAGTGAGTCAGCTGGTGGGTCTAGAAGATTTTAGTAGGTAAAGTATTAATCAAGAAAAAACAGAAATAAATCTCAAGGGAGCTATGTAGTTTGCAGAACCAAAGGGTATTATTTCATGGTTTGTCCTGATGCTGCGCTCTTCTCCCTGCAGATAGTAAAACTGAGGAAGAAGTCTGCCTTCTTTGATGCTGAGATAACAAATGATCAATATTTTCTTTGTCAGAATGGCTGTATTTGTGTGGGGGAGAATACCCTGTTCCCTTTTGCAAATTGACAAGCCACATCTTTGCATTAGCTTTGCTTTAGTTCATGAAACTCTACTCCTGTCTGTCTCTCTGCTCCCAGGTATGCCAGATGCTGTGCTGTACTGCTCCCTTCATGACCCAGTCAGTCCCTGTCCATCTGGCTACAACACCAACAAGGTACAGTAGCTGTAAAGACTTGAAAGGGTCCACCTAAAGTTCTCAAGAGAAAGCTGCCAGTCCCTTCATCTCTGTGGGTGTGCTCAGACAGCCACAAGACTTATTTTTCTAATCTTTGCACAAAGAGGAATGTCATTTACATGCTCCTACCTCCAACTAAATAAAGCTGTACATGTTCTTACTTGTCAGCATGTTCCCTGAACAATTCCCGAGCAGCTAAGTGGCAATTCAGATAGAAGGGAGAGCTCTGTCCTCCCATGCTGTTGTAGTTAATATGGTAGTAAAAGAAAATACCTGTGTTTTAGTGTATTTGCTGTACCAGCTTACAGTGATGCCACTGATAAGCAATAAGTCTGAACCCCTGTGTGTGTATTTAGTCTGCTACAGGCCCACAAAGGAGAAGAACTTATAATTTTCACAGGAGAGTGGCTTAGCAATCCAGGAGTGCATAGTGTTGCAGGCATTTTCCTGTTCCATCCCACAGGCAGAGACATTCCCCATGCAATCCACAGGCTACCTGCCACAAATTTGTCCTGCGAGGCCCACTCCTGGCACCTGCTCAGATCCAGTCAGTCTCAAGGCTTGTTTGGGTATGGTCACATTTGGTGAAAGGTGACTGAATGACAGAGGATAACTCCTGCCATTCAGCTATCAATGCATATTCTTTGCTGCTGGGAACCAGGCTGAGTCCTGCCTCTTTGCAGGGAAGGAATTATCTCAAGCTTGTCCTACCATTGTGCAGCTATGAGGTGATAGCAGCAATCTAAGCCTGGGTGTTGCAGCTTTGATTCAGCTTTTTTTTTAAAATAAGCTGGTGAAGATATTTGTCACCTTGTTACAAGGCCTTCTGCAGCTGAATCTCTACTGACAAATGCTTATGATAGCTTTTTGAAAGCAATGGGACAGAAAGCTCTGGATTCTGTGCCAGAAAGTCTAGCACGGGCTGGATTTAAATAATCACAGGATAATGCTCAGTTCTCTAAGCTGCATGGCTATTTTATTTATTAAAGCTGCTTTTTTCCTCTCGAGAGCAGAACGAAGGTAACTAGATGTGATTACACTCTGCCCTTTGGCTCAGACAGTTCTGACTTTCCTCTGCCTGCCTTCACCAGCTGTTCCTCAATGCTCTCACAATAAGAGGCAGCAGGTACTATCTGATCAACATGCTGCTTCAGAGCAACGTACAGCTGCTGTCTTCCTGTTATTTTGCAGGTACTAATTTTGGATCTCCTTCCTTTGGAGTTGCCTTATTTTAGTGGGAAATTTACAGCAATATTATTACTTTGGAGACTTCTGTCTTTGTTACTCAAATTTAGTGAAATTGGCTGAGGAGGCCAGAAGTAATCAGGAGAGATGGATGGATGGATGGACAGGCAACAGGCATGTGGTGTACTAGCACAATGCTTTTGGGTCTTTGTGGAGACGAAATAAAAAAATTGTTCTCATATTTTTTGCATCAGCTGATCGAATTCAATTTGCAAATTAGTATGCATGAGAACTGCACTGCTTTATCTGTCTGTCTGGCATAGGCTAGCAGAATGTGTTTAAACCTTCAGGTCCCAAAAAGTCCCCGTAACACTTCAAGCTATGTGCTGTTTCTGATAGCTGAACCCACTTCCTCATTTGACAGAATTGTAGATGAAAAGAGCCAAATTCTAAAGGGCTTGAGACCAATGCTTAACTACTTGAATACCCCTTTAAAATTTTGGAGCAGCAGTGTCACAAGTCTAACAATAATACAACAAAATACAGCCAAGCTGCACTCACAGGTTAATTGCAGATTCTGTAAAATAGGCTGAAATGTGGTAGCATGTGTAGTTGCAGTACTTGCAGTAACATTTTGTGAATCTGAATGTTTAGTGGATTGAATGGTGACATCTACTCACCTGGAGGTGTTCAGGTAACATAATCTCTCTGTGCAGGGGCTTTTGTCTTGCTTTAAAATCTTTTGAGGGTAGCATGGAATAATGATGGAAGGTGGGGACCCAAGTGCACACACAGAATAGAAAGTGTGTGAAGACACTGAGACAGAGACTCGGTGAAATCCTGATGAGCACCTGCCATTTCTTATGTTGGCTTGCTTTGAAAGCTGTGTATTGCTTTTGCACTTGGTATTTCAATCCCTTCTTAAGTGGCTGAATTTGGACCCTAAATAACAGAATCACAGAATATGCTGATTTGGAAGGGACCCACAAGTCCAGCTCTTAGCCCTGCATAGGACCATCCCCAAGAGTCACACTTAAGGATGAAATACCAAGTGCAAGAGCAATACATAGCTTTCAAAAATAACATGGGGTTCTAAGATTAAGTTGCTTAACAACTTTTTGTATTCTTCCCAGTGTGTATGGTGTCTGTATGGTTTATATATACTCATGTATATTCAGATATGAGGTATGGATTAAATGCTTGGAAAAGGAAACAGTTTCCTGGTTTTGTATACAGAAAATTAGTGAGCTGTATTTGCCATTGCAGCCTTTGCTGAATAAGGTATCATTCCAGTATCTGGTATTTCACCAGACCAATTCCTTCCCTCCTTTCACCCTTAGGATCTGCTATCCTTCACAACTAATGTTCATCCCTATTCTTCCCTGACAGACAGTCTCCCTGTGGGGAAGCTCAGGGCGCATGGAAATGACAGTTTCCAAATTCATGGACATACAGCGAGTCATCCAGCCGGACTGGTTCCAGTGCATCTCTGATGGAGACACCATTTCTGGGGAAGTTGGTAGAAAAAGAGCCAAGAAGTCTGTGGATAGGTCACTTTCCTTCCTGGATGTATGTCTTCAGCTGCAAGAAAAATCACCGGTAAGGTCCCCAAAATACTGAGGCAATAGCACTGCATCTGCTTTTTGGTCTGTGCCGCATCCTGGGCCAGTCCCAGGATGTGATTTAATAGGAAATTGTGTCACATATGTATATCAGAGAATGCCCAGGTGACAGTCCTACATGAGGTATAACCAGTAGCATAGGGAGTTTTCCTTTCTCCCTTTAGTAAATTGTCTCCTGCACTAGAATACTCATCCTTACTTGTTGGGGAGAACTACTTCTAATTTTTTTTCCTTGCTTTTGGACTGTAGTGCGTTTCTTCCATTTACCTTATTGCTATATGCATGGGCAAAGTGAGATCTTCTCATTCAGGTCGAGAAAAACAATCTTTTTTCCCTGAAATCACCTCAGTTCCAAGGGAGAAAGGACTTGATAGAATTAGTCAGTGCTGTTCTTCATTTCTTCCAGCAGCTTTGAAACTTTCCTCCCTTTTGGTGAAAGGAGATATATATCTCAATGTGCACTACAAGGGAAAGAAAATGGGTGACAGGAGCTGATATCAGTATCTCCTGGAAGGGAATTCATTGTGGGATCTGGTCTGATCATTATGAGATGAGTTCTGACAGACAGGATAATGGCACCTGCTTTGTATTCTGCACTGACACATGTATTGCTGAGGGGCCATCCATAAAAAGCCATGTACAAAGATGGTGTGTGGTTATTGCCTTTAGTAATAGGGAGGTGGGAAGAATGGCATCAAAATTCTCAGTGAGTTAGTGTCAAGGTAAGGAGCAGAATCTTGTCTCCCTTAATCCCATTTCTTACACTCTCACATGGACTTCACAGTGTTGTGTGGGGAATAGTCTTACGTGGGATGAAACACTGGTTCTGGCAAGTTCCTGGGAGTGTGGAGCTTAAGTAGCAGGCATCTGAAGTCTGGGCTTTGAGATGTCTTGCATGTCTTTGGCAGAGCACACTCTAACACTTGTAGCTTTCTCCTGGGACAGGAACTACAAGGAAGTGTAATGTTTGGGGCAATTGAAGGTGGAGATATCTTGGAAGAGAGGCTCAGATCAGCCAGGGAGACTGCCAAGCGGCCTGTGGGTGGCTTTCTGCTAGATGGCTTCCAGGGATGTGCCATGGCCACGGAGACCAAGTTGAAACTGATAGCTTCTGTCACAGCAGAGCTGCCAGAGGATAAACCAAGGTAAGTCGTGTGGGCAACATCCCAAGAAATCCATCTGTTCTATTATGAGGAGCTTCTACAGGCTGCTGTGCAGTATCCCTATAGGAAATAATCGCTGTATTGCACAGCTCTGTATGTGCCAGACTGCATAAATTTTACCACTGTCGGGCTGCAGGCTTCAACTGTTGTTTCAGTTTTTAGCTGCAATTGGCGCCAAGCTGTACTCATACTCTGGGTATGAGTATTCTCCACATTTGTCATATATAAGTTTTTAGAAAGAGTTACAGGTAGGATATGTCAGAGGTGCTTGCATTTGGCCTTTGAGGCCATGATTTACTTGAAGTTCAGCTCAAACAAGAATGTTATTATCAAGATATTATGCAGGTACCTCATCTTATGAGGGGACCTCATCTCATGATGAGGACCTTATCAAAAACTGTCATGTTTCCAGTTCTCTCTGGTCTCAGCTGCAGGATGGCTGCAGAGACGGGTGCTGACAGAAGCAGCCAGTGTTTACATGATCTTTTGGCAACCAGCTCTGACCTGGTACCTGAGACACTGAGCCTGTGGACTACCAGAGGTGGTACAGCCTCGCCTAAAACAATGATATTCTCTTCTTGGACAATGTGGGGCTTATTGTGTATCTGAGTAGTTAGTTTTGCCCATCACATTCGTGGCAGAGACTGGACAGGAGTGGCAGCTTTTTTGATGGTACAAAGGAGTAACAGTAACTAAAGACTTCCCAAAAATGTGTGCTAATACGAGGGATTTCTTAGCATTGGGTTGAGCTTGCTGGATTGCTCTTACAAGAGCACCTGCAACAGAAATAATATGAGTGCTTTTTTCATCATTTCCTAAAGAGAGTGACTGAGGCCCCATTGTCGTCCTGCTTCCCTCTGCTAGCTGAGCATTGCTCTGACCTAATGATGTTCAAAAGGAAATTAAATGCAAAAGCACGTGTCTGGTGTTGCAGCTTGTTCTTGCTTAATGATGCCTGGGGTTTGAATTTTCCTGACAATTAGAAGGCTTGCTGTGTTGTTGCCATCCTGTCTGGTTGAGCTACTTAAAAGATCCCCTGGGAGCATTAGAGTCCAATCTGCTCAGCTAACCTTACTGGCTACCTGTGCATCTGCCTCATCTATCAAATAGTTTGCTTGTCTGGTTAAGACAAGTGTTTCTGACCTCTCAGTAGGAAGAAAGCTGGGTAGCCCCAGGGGTCTTGTAAGTACCTCAGGTGGATTTCAGACAGTCCTTGTTCCTGAATCACCCTTGCCATTCTGGCTGGAGAAGTAGTTATGCACCTGTGTTCTACCCCAATATGAAATTCAATATGAAATTCTCTAGAAGACAAACACTTTCTGTGCTTCACTCAAGAAGTGACTGCTTTTTGTGTGACAATGAAATAACCTTATCAATGTACTTTTTAAGAGTCCTTTTATGCATCTAAAGATGCTGAAGTCTCTTGGTAAAATTTGTTTTCCTTTCCAGTAGCAACGGAACCCTTGCAAAAAGAAATGTTTGTCCTTAACTGTGCAGAGAGGTTTCAGCAAGGGCTTTGATCATGTGTGCACATCTACTGTTCTGACTTCTGCACATCATTTTCTCCCTGCCGTGGGAACCTGAAACATAAAACACTCATGCTGTAAACTTCTCCCATCCTTATTCTGTTCTCATCAATTTAATTGGAGTACTTAGAAAAGTGACTAAAAATGGCACCTTGTGACTTCATTTATCAGCTCCTGTGTATTTTCCTAATTATCTGTTTAGATCATTGCCCTACATTAACTTCTACTGCTGTCAGCCCAGCCCATGCACCTGCAGGAGAGCAGGCACTGCTCTACTCTCTTATGCTTCACCCACCATCGGCAAACCTGCCAGCTAAATTTGGCTAACAGCAGAATCTCTATTACCATTGACGGCAGTCCAGCCGGGCTCTTCCTGGCTCTTAAGGCCGTGTCTCAGGAGATGTTACAGCCCAGGTTTTTGGGTAAATCATTTGAGCAGGTAGAGTGTAAAGACGAGGAAAGACTAAAGGAAGGAAGCTCTTTCTGATGACATTTCTCAGTAGTGCGTTCTCCTCCAGGCAGGTTTTCCAAGTGCAATATGATGTGTCTGTCACCTGAAGGACTTGTATCTTTGACCAGCCATCTACTGCTGTCTCTGCTGCTCTTGATCAAGTCTTTTCAGACTGTCTTCTAAACAGTTAACAAGCAAAAGGGTCCATGTGTCTGGAAATCGGTAGTTCCCTGGGGCACAAACATGACTAAGGAAAATATCTGTTCTATGGCACAGATGTTTTGAATCTAAGTGTATTTATGTGTATGTGAAAGAAACCAAATCACTTCAAACATAATGAACAGAATGAGTTTGTTCCGCAGGAAGTGAGGGATTATTGCTGTCTTCCAAATGGCAGATAATGAAAAGCCTGCTATGCACTGGATATGCTGGAGGTGGGGAACTGGAAGCACACAGGATTCTGGGTGGTGACTGTTGTCCCCAGTTGCCTTCTGGTTAGCAGTTGCAGAGATAAGCTACGTGAGCTGCACGTGACCTGAAGATCTTCAGGTACCTTCTTGCTTCTACTCAGAATGTTGTAGATTTGTCTTCCTGTGTGTCTCTTACAGAATCATTCATGGTGTGGGCAAACCAGATGAGGTGCTTGAGTGCATTGAAAGGGGAGTGGACATTTTTGAGAGCTTCTTTCCCTTCCAAGTGACAGAGCGAGGCTGTGCCTTGGTTTTCAGTTATGACTGCCATCCAGATCCTGAAACAGCAGGTAGGCTTCTTGATGGTCGTTACAATTTTTACAGTTTACATTGTGGCAAGAAGAATTCATACTTTGGAGGAATCTGTACTTGAGTGTTTTGTTCCTGAAATAAGTACAGTAACCACTGGAAAAACTGGTATTCCACTATCAAGTGTTGCTTTTGAAGGTGGGGTACTTTGGTGTGAAACCTACTGAGTAAAACTTGAGGCCTCTAAATGTGATTAGCCAAAACATGATTAAATATTTCTTAAACACCTACTGAATAGAAGGGTTTTAGTTTGATACCCTTGGGAAATCTTCTGTTACCTTTAGAAGGATGGACCTATTAAGTGGAGATGTAATATGTTTGATTTGTAGAATGAACTGACTATGTCTCTGTAATAATAATGTGTTTCTGAAGTTCTTTCTTTCTAGCTGTCAGAAGTTTCCCATTTCTTTGGGCAGCTTTTCTCTTTGTCCTTGCACTCATCAGTACATATCAAAACAAAAATGAGATGTTCATAACTTATTTCCTCATTATGCTATGAGATGGGAACATGCATATCACCCATTAAAGCACCTATCAAATGTGTTTCAAGCAGCTGTTTTGTTTTGGCCTATTAAATATTTTTAATACAGGGAAACATTTTACATTTTTTCTCTTGGGTAAAACCTAGTGGCTTTTCAGGCCTGGATAATTCAAAACCATCTGAATAGAACAGAACATCTTGTTTCTTTGTGCTTGCTGCTATTTTTTTAACCCTTGTCTTTAAGGTCTCTTGTTTCACCATATTCTTAAATCATAAGATTCTGGGTAAGGAGAGTGGTTTTGTTCTGTGCCTGTTTTTAAGTCAGTAGACATGGATTGTGCAAACAGTAATACTGGTATTTCCAGATACATCTCCTTCTTAAGAACAAACTTAAAATTGCAAACCTACAAAGTTATGGGATGATTCTTTATTTTTCAAATAGGTGCGGAAAAGGCAGATGTGGAATCTACATCTTCTGAATTAGTGCTACCAGCCTGTTTTGATTTCAGTTGTTTAAAAATAAAAAAATAGAGGCATCTAAATCCCTGAGTCTTGATCACAGCATGGAAAGTAGAATGATTGAATGCAAATGAGTTGCCTGTCTACTCTAATAAAATCTCAATAAAATCAAAGATGAAAAGTTCTTATTTTTTAAGAATTTAGCTCAGTAGAGCAGCAAAGAGTTATACTGTTGTTTCAGCTCTAACTTTTGATTAGTTTTAGTAGATTAGTTTTCAGTTGTCTCTTGTTGTTTTAATCATCTAAAAGTGTATGAGTTAACTAACCTATGGCAATTAAGGAAAATAGCTGCTTACTATAAGAAAGAGGTGTAAACCTGTGGCAGGAGAGTAGCAGAAATACCTATTCTAAAGTTGCTATCCTTCCTTTGCCCTTGCTCTGTTTGTAAAAGGCTGTTGTCTTTTTATTTTAAGCAGTTTTAACACAAAATGGGGCCCAGGACCTGGAGAAGATTGGTGCTGAAGAAAACCAGGATGAAATCTCCAAAGCTGACCCAGAAATGACACCGTTTGAGATATGTCTGAAGGACAAAAGGTATGTGAGTTTGTGAGGAGGGTATCTGCAGCTGTATCACTAAATGGGATACTTTTGACTTCTGTATTTGGTTGCATATGGTCAGGAGCTGGATGAGAGACTTCATAAAACATAAAGCTGTTGAAGACAGTACTTCTGGACATTTAGTAGAGAGTGTTGGATGAGCATTCTAGCTTGTTATCAGGCAACAGTGTATGTCAGAAAGCACTGTCTTTTGCTTGACCTAAAGCCAGGGACTTTCTGATCATTTATCCAGCAGACATACTGTGGTCATAACTGTGGCCCATCTGAAATACCATAGGTTACAAAGCTTGTCTGGGGATCATTTTGGTCTTCCACATCTTACTCAGGTCTTCTTGAGATACTGGATTTTACTTAAACTGTAGAGACCATCTGCTTTCTGACTCAGTTTAAGCAGCTGCTGAGCAATTCTGCCATTTCTAGATACTTAGCAAAAACTTTGACCATTGTTACCACTTGTCCTTCCTTCTCTTTGCCTAAGGTACTTCTGGGCTGTCTGAGTAGACAATTGTGTTGCTTTGTTCTCTCCAGCATCTCACAGTAGAGGGGAATATTGTTTTGTGAATAGAGAAATCAGTAAATCCATAGTTTTGATAGGTTTCTCCTTCATAAATGCTGTGATAGCTAGTGAGGGGTGTCTTGCACTGCAGCTTTTCTGTCAGGGAAGGCACAGATAGGGCCTCTCTCTGCTGTTAGCTGTAATGTAGTCAGAGTTATCCTGATTTAGATGTGTGGCCTTTTGGCTCCGAAGTGAATTCTGGCAAGATGAGGCTTGGGGCTTTGAGCAACCTGGTCTAGTGGAAGATGTCTCTGCCCATGGCACGGTTTTGGAGCTAGATGACCTGCTAGGTGAGGTCCCTTCCAACTCAAACCATCTATGATATTTGAAGTCCTTTGTGCCAGTGGTGCTGCTCTTAGTTGTCAATAAATCTTAGAGCAGCTGGAATCAGGACCTCAGGGCTCAGGTCCCTGCAAAAGGCCAGGTAATAATTGGGTACTCTTTATAACTTGAATGGGTCTTCTGACTTTTGATGTTATCCAACATTGCTTCTTCCTTAGATACCAAGATGACTTTGGTCCTTTGCTGGAAGGATGCACCTGTTACTGTTGTCAGAGGCACACTTGTGCCTACGTCCATCACCTCCTCGTGACCAATGAGCTGCTGGCCGGTGTCCTGCTCATGATGCACAACTTCCAGCACTACTTCGGTTTCTTCAGTGCCATACGGGATGCCTTAAGAGACAATAAACTGGATCAACTGAAAAACCTTGTCTTCAGGCAGGCACTTCAAGGCCCAGTAAATGCGAAGCTGAGCCAATGAGATCGGAGAGGACAGAGGAGTTTGCAGGCTACACCCTTATCCAGTGGAACTGTGTAAGGTGGACTTCCAGCAGGATCGCCTGGATCTGTCAGTAGTAAAATGCCTTTTTTCCTTCCTGGAGGGAACTGAAGGAGATATTTCAAGAAGATCTCACTTCCTGGTGGGGAAGGATGATCTTGTCCAAACGTCACTTTTGGTTAATTGGCTTGGTACATTCTTGGTGTTATGGAAAAGCTTGGACAGCTCACAAGACCAGTATGCATAGCTTGTTTTCAGATACTCACTGTTGGTTTTCTATGTGCAAGGACAAAGTTATTGAACTTGTGACTGAAGATAAAGCAGGGCATATACGTAAAATTAACCGAGCTACCTGAAGGCTCAGGAGCGTTTTGAGACTCTTGTTCCATACCCAACAGTAATTATCTTTCTAGAAAAACCTAGTGGTGTCGTTATCTCATCATCTAGCTCCTTGATGAGAAGTCCCACCTCAGTTTAACATACTGTCCTTGAGGACATTGCCAGCATCTGTGTCGTTGAAAGGAACTGACTGGATGTGCTGCTGTGTGTTTCTCCCTCAGGCTGCCTGCACTGCAGTGTTCTCTGGACCTGGAGGAAGCCCTCCACCTTGGCCTGGCCTTGAAAACTCCTGCCTCAGGAGTCCTAGTCAGTGACATTAGAGCTAGAAAGCAGAGAAAATGTTTAATCCATGTCCTGCTGTAGAGATTTGTTTGTTTGGTTTTTTTTTTAATTTTGTACCCTTATTCCAGATTTCACTCCCATGTTAGCACATGGATGATAATGAATCTATCATTCTTTCCAACTGCCCTATCACTGGTCACATAGCAAGCTGTGTTATGTGAGATGGAGCTGTGGTAGAAATGTGTCACAGGAAAAGGCATTTAGAAAACATTCTTGTGGCTTTTTGTTTTAAAATATGACACAGTTATGTCACATTCCTCTTACTCAGTTTTTTTAAATGCCCCTTATTTTGGAATCATGGATTTAATTATTTTATGTTACAAAGCAACAATAAAAGAAATTTATTATTTGTTACACTGGCTCCTCAGTGTGTGACAGAGGTGATGTACCAGAGGGCTTGAACTCAAGAAGCTGTCTCCTGGAAACTTGACTTAGCAGTCTGATGGAGGAAGAGCCGTATCTAGGAGTAGGATCCTGTCAGGGACCAGGGTTCCAAATAATTTGCTTCAAAAGAATGTCATAATAGACCTGGAAGTGTGAAAGACACCTGTCCATCCCTCTCTCCGTAAGAATTCTACTACCTTAATTAAGCTTGAAAAAATACTACTGTTAAAATTGCTGGCCTTAAAGCAATTAAGGATTAATCTGTAGTGTGCTCTTCACAATTTCTTTAACATTTTAAGATTTTAATATCTGCCATCAGAATGACTTTACCATAGAGTATAAGGAGTTTTTAGCTCCGCTGTCTCTTTGGGCAGCTACACAAGGTTGTCAGAGTCCTTTCTACCATTCCAGTCTTATTCACCATTTGTACTAACTATACTTCTGTTCCACAGGGTCCTAAAGAAATGGTGCAAATATTGCTCTGCTGTTGTCTTCAAACAGAAATTACAGAGAATGATTCAGCACAGAAATGACATAAAATATAGGATTATCGTCCTCACTCCGAGTAGTACAACTCCAAGGTTGTTAAAGTTTACGCAGCACTGGGAAACTTGGAGATGGTGTCCTGGATACACAGAGTGAGATAGAAGGTCTGCCTAACTTAAAGGGCAGGGAATTCTAATGAAACCAAAATGGTTCATGCTGCTTTCAAGAGAAATGCAGGATATGATGGTAGCGTTTGAACCTTGTTTCTGCAGTGTCTGTTTCTAGTTGCGAGTATCAGCGCTAAACCTTTTGGGAAGGGACAGGGTTTTTTCTCACTCACTGATACTGCTCTATCCGCACACTCAATCACCAAAATGCCCAAGTCAGCCCAGCACTCAGGCACCAAGAAGTTTGTGTCCAAAAGGTCAGTCAGGGGTGCTCTGTGAAGACAGGGAAGATAAGGAATACCAGCTGTTGTGTCCTCCTCGCACATACTCCTGCATGCTTCTTAGGTTGGTAACCTTACTGCTGGTTGTGGAAGTGCCATTTTGTATCTTTTGGAAGCTACTTGTGATTGATCATTTTCCCCGTCCTGCCCCAGCTCTGTGAATCATTAGGATTTATTAACGTTTCTTTGTCTCCCAACCTGGGTGTCCTCAGAAGCTGCATGTAGCTGTACTGGGATCTTAGTGACCTGCTAAGCTAAGTGCCAGTAACATGACATTCTCAATAACCCTTCTGTTCTTCCTCCTGGCCTTCTGATTTTTCTCTACTGCTGTGTTCCTTTTCTGGTCATACCCATCAGGCTTTCCTGTTATGGTTCTCTGCTTAGCTTTTATATGTGTACATGTGTGTGCTCTGGCTTTGCATTTTCTGTTGTGCAAGAATTGACCAACTACATCTACTCACTGTCTAACACAATAACAAACTGCACTAAGTCTGGAACAACCTTAATGTGTTGTATGTAGACAACTTCTCAATATGTCAGTCCTCTTCACATTGTAAAAGTTCAGCAACATTTTTCATGCTAACTTAGAAAGTTTTTTATTAATTTCAAAGCAGATATCTAATTTCTTTCAAAAACAGAATTCTTGCCCTAATATGGGGAAGAAAACTACGTGAAAAAACTAAACTTTTCACGGAGAAGTGAAAATTGGAATTAATAAGGAGAGGAAAAATGTCTGTGCTAAATTAACTTCACTAAGCACAGAAGACTGCAAAAACATCCTTGAGTGCCATCCATCTCCAAAGGGCAGAATATAAATAAGAGCAGAGCAGAAAACAAAAGAGATGGTGTGTTACAAAAAGATTAGACCCTTGAGAATCTTTCCCTTAGCAACTTCTAGTGTAACCTTCCCCTTGATAAAGAAAAATCTTTCATGCTGATGAGAATAACTGGCAGGGCCTCATGTTAAGTGCCAAGTCCTGTGCCTTTCTGACCACTTCATCAGGATTCTGCTCAGTAACTTTCTCCTTTCAGAGCTATTTTAATATTGCAGACTCTTAAGCAGTTTCAAAAGTATGCTTTAAAATGTATTAAGGAAAAAAAATCAAATTGGTTTATCACAAAAATGTTTTCTTTTTTCCTTGAGGTATGTAATTTCTCCCACACACACATTCACCCACCCCATCCATCCTCTAAATTATTAGGACACAGCATCCAAGAGACATATCAAGCCTTGTCTGACAGTTTCTAGGTTTGCTCTACTGTGGCTCTGAAGGATTGCAGGAGCTGCCCAAGACTGGAAGTGTTCCAGCAGGGCGTTCAATTTATTTCTACATCTCTAAGGTTCAGAGGGCTTTTGGATCGTGGGATTTTTATGCATAGAAAAATCAGTTCCCGGTGTGTTTCAGAGGTGCTTTTAAGCATTGGGTAGTTATTTTTTTTCATCCTGAACCCTGTTGGGTTTTGATTCATAACCTGAGTTGGCAGAGAAAGCCCCTCAATAAAATGTTTAAACCTTCCTCTCAGTAATTTCAGAGATGTTTCCTCTGTGATGTGGAAGGCATACACAAAATAGATGATGGTGCAGGCCAGTTTAATGGTTTTATTTGTACTACATAATTCACTAGGGACCTCATCTCTTTTCTGGTAATGCAGCACTCACTTCCTTAGACTATTAAAGATGTTCAAGCACATGTTACCATCCTTTCGTATGCACATTCTGGAGGCATGACAGGACTTTTCAAACAAAAAGAGAATTAATTTAAATTCCTTTGAGAAGTTGGATCTGGATTGTCAAAGCTGGTGCTGGCACAAAAGTGGTGCAGCAAAATGTTCATGCTTCCCTGTTGATGTTGCCAGTGGGATGGTGTCTGTCAGACGCTCTCCAGTGGCATATTGGCTCGGAAAGGCGATACCTTCCCTGCCTTACAGTGAGGTGATGATGAACTGCCTGGTTATGTCTACATCTGTTGTCTGTATGATTTAATTACATTGCTCAGGTGAATGTACAACAAATTGGGATGCTCTGTCATGTTTCTGACATAGCTCCTCCAGCTCCTGGCCTTGCTTACTCCCCATCATTACAAAAACTTTGGAGAAAATCTGCTCTGTTTAGCAGCTCTTTGTGTGTCTGAACATTTGCAGAGCTCTTTAGGAAGGAGGTTTGGATGAAAAAGGGTTATCTGATTAACCAGGATTACTTCAAATTTCGGCCTGAAAATTTAGGAAGCTGTGTATGGTGGACAGTGCCAACAGTAAAGAAATTATAACTAAAGGCATCTGGATCTGCTAGGCAGCTCAGGATTAATCAGCTTTCTGTCTTCCCTATCCCTCTGCTACAGTGTAAAGCATTTTCTGGTCCAAGGGGATGGCCACAGCACTGTGAAGGACAATGGCTGTGGTTCATGCCCGCAGATCCACAGGACAAGGTGTATCTCACCTGCCTGGCACTTGCAGAGCAGATTGATTTGCAGGTTGGTGATCATGAAAAGATCTGAAAACTACAGCTCTTACATGTAATGTCCCAGCAGAGATTTTCACAAAAGAAAGTAGTGGTTTCAAGGTCCTTGGCCAGAGTTCCTGGACCTATTCCCATGCTCTGTGTGTGACACTTTGCGCTCTTGAGCTGACTGCCTTTCTGGGCTGTTGGACATGTGTTGCAACATGTGACACAAAGGCAGCTTTGTAGCAATGCTTTATGCTCATTGCTTCTCCTTCCACAGGAGAACATCTGGTTTGCCTTTTGATGAGGTAATCAGGGGAGGTACTGATTAGCCAGCATCTTGCAGGAAGTCAGCAGAGGCTGCAAATCTGTCTTGAGCTTTTTTATACTGCCCTTCCCAGACCAGAATGGAACTGTCTACAACGTAATGACAACTTTAATGGTACCACGTGCTGAAAAACACCTGAAGAAACCAACCCTTAGGAAAGCCAGACGCTTTCCTCAGACAAAGGTGAGTAAACTGGGATGGGAGAGAACACAGAGACTGGCAGGCAGCCCAAGTCTTCAAAGAGATGCAGGATCTTCAAGGAAGGAACAGGAGATGGAGCGTCTGGGAGGAAGGAGCACAGGCAAACAGGATGATGAGGATTTGGCAAGGCCAGCAAGGAAAGGAGTGGGAGTTATGCAGTATGTCCATGTGTAGCACTGCCAACATCAAGTTGCAGAAGCCACTGGAATGTGCCTTTATACATCCCTTGTTTTGTGCATGTCTTGAGGAGGAAGAAGCATTCTGTTGCTGTTCAGGAAGTTTAGCAATGGCTGCTATACTGCTCACAAAGGCAAAAGGTTACAGAGTAATGCTTGTGGCCTTCAGACCTGAGGCTGACAGGAGAACTAAGTGCTGGACTCAACACTGGTACCTGGCTCCCCTCTTCCCCACAGCCAGTGCCATCAAAAATATTCAAGGAAGTCCTGTCGCCTTAACCATCTCCTTTGACCAGACCCTCACAGAGAGACAGAAGTGCTGCTGCCTCTCAGCTGAGGCATAGCAAGGTGAGCAATCCACCTGCCTCATAGCCCTTCTGCTATGGCATAGCGTGGCAGAAAGAAATGTTGAGTCCCATAGTAAATGTGCTTGTGCCTCGTGAAAAGTAGTCTTTATTTGGGGTATTCGATTTGCCATGCTCACAGCTGCAGGGTAAAACTTATTAAAACTTATAAGAGTCCCCAGGGCAGGGAACCAGAAAGGTCTTCCCCACATCACCAAACAGGAAACAGCCTGGTGCTTGTCTTGCTGAGATACTTAAATTATTACACTGCAATTAATTTTTAATTATGTTCATTTTCTTTTTTGGCTCTAGGGGTTTTCTTTGCCTCACATTTCCACAAGCATTCAGGAATGAGATGAGACCAGTGTCTGGCAGGAAGAGGTTCACTGATGTGTATTCAGAATTATGAAGGAGGCTCAGGAGAATTCCCTGCCTGTGTCTGGGGGAAAACTTATCCCTGTTGGAGAAAGGTGTGGTGGGCATCAGAGCTGATGGGCTCCTGATCTGACACTTGAGGCAGCATG